TCAAGTTTGTGCTATACAAATTAAAAGTGCCCATCATAAGCTCTGGGTGACCATGAGAACTCTTAAAATACATCTAAAAAAATGGACCCTAGTAATTACCTGCAGACAGAATTATCCTGGTAGCAGCATAAATATAACAAATATTTAATAAGACCCATTAACAAAATCACCAAGGAGCGCTCCCTCAACCACTCCCCAGCTTCACCCAACTCCCTGCGGGGAAGGGAGAAAAGATGGGCCTTGCAATATTCCCTGGAGGTTACACATTCTATTATGGATCAGAGTGAAGAAAGTTCCTAAGGCCCTTCCAGCAGCCTTATTTGTTTTATACCATGGGGAGAGAGGCCGTCTCCTAGATAGGTAATGTCTCAAGTAGTTTTAGAGTTGCATAGATAAAAATCTACAGCTCAGAATCAATCCTGAACCAATAGGCAGCTAGTGTAGTTCATACAACATATGTTAGGGCAGGGACTCTCTTTTTGTTTGTACAGTGACTGGCACAATGGGGTCCTGGCTCATGGCTCCCAGGTGGTACTGCAATGCAAATAAATAATAATAATAATTAATATTTAACAATAGAGAATAAGTTAATGTGCTTGCAAAGAGAAATCTACTTAGCAAGTGGGCTGCTGAATTTTGCATCAGCTGTAGTTTCCAGATGGACTTAAACCATAGCTCCATGTAGATCGCAGTAGTCTAATCTTGAGGGACAAAGGATGTAACATGATGTAGTAGTGTATAAGTCCACATCCCAGTAATGATTAGTGTAGACCAAAAATTAGGAGATGCTAGGTTGGCTACTATGGACATCTCTGGAAATTTTGAAAAAGGACTCCAGGGAGTCAGTGTCATAACTTTTTGCATAATTACCTTTCAGAGTGATGAATTTTTCCATTCCCCAAATATCCCATCTCTTAAAAAAAAAGCCAAAGTATCTTTTGCATGAAGTGGGCTTTTCTTCTCCTCTGCAGATAAATTATTTTAGGGGACTTTTTGCCACATGAAGAGAAATCATCTCACTGTTTATTAATACTGCTACCTTCCTACAAAGACAGGCTGTTGCCAGGGTACCATACGTCCAGAAATTTTGTCCACTTAATTACATCTTGGTGTCACTTACTTATTGCCTTTGGCATGAATCTGCTTCCTGGAGGTCAGAGCAGGAGAAAGGGAGTCAGGATTCTTGGTTTCTATTTCTGACTTTTGGGGGATAGCTACACTTACAAATTGCACTAATTTAATTAAATCAGTTTCTAAATCTATTTAGTTAAATCTGTGCAACCCTGTAAATCGGTTTAAGAATGACTGATATTGAAATTTAATTAATCTCAATGGATATAAGGCAGTCAAACGTCTTTTCTACCCACAAAAGTTAACTAGACCAGTACAACCCCCTAGTGGATTATATCAGTATAAAGGATTATATCAGTATTGCTATTCCCGTAGGGGAAAGGGAATCAGTTATTAAGGTATAAGGCACCTTTATAACTTTCAGTTAAAAAAAAAGAAAAGAAAAGAAAAAAGATCACCCCTCACCACTTCCACTGAAACAGATATACTGGTACAAAAACTGTGTGTAGAACAGGCTGTAAACTCAAGGGAGTTGCACCAATTTAATTAAATCAATTTAGAAATGAATTTAGTTGCATTATTGCAATTTCAATATGTAGACATGGCCTCTGACTGACTCACTGTATGTGACTTTGGGCTAGTCAATTAACCTCTCTGTGTTACTATTTTCTGTATGTAAAATGGGAATAATAAATACCTCACTTTGAAAAGCATCTGAGATCTTCAGATGGAAGGGCCTATATAAGTGTAAAGTACAGTTATTCATATTTTTATTGTTCCAGCAGTAACACACACAAGAAATAAACAAAGCACCAAAAGAACTTTTGGAAATGTTATATTTCAAAACAAGCCAAGTGATGAGGCTTAAGTTACTTTCCTCAAAGCAAGTTACTGACTGTGAAACCAGCTGCTCAATGCATGAGTCAGCAGCACCAGCAGGAGAGTCAAAGCCTGTTAACAGCACCTTTCTTAGTTCCCCTTGTTTAAAATTAAAAACTAGAAGTCCCTTAGGTACTTGGCAAACAGCACTACTGATACAGCTGGTGGGGGGGGGGAATATCATTTTGCATGGCACTCACTCTGAAGATGGGAGGGAAGCCATTTTTCATTATCACAGTTACTAATCTCAGCAGGTTTGCCTCATTATCTGAAGAGAATGTCCTAGCTCATTGTTTGAGAGTGGGATCAGATGGGCCAGCATGAAAACCAACTGTCTAAAGAGATACCCGTGTTGTCATTCCGGAGGGTGGCAATAATCTCATATTCCCCACTGTCACCGTCATCAGAGTGTGTCCTTGATCCTTCTGCTTGTCTCTACCATTTGAATTCTCTCCCTCTGTTAAAAGTGAAAGGAAAAGTTCTTTTTTTAAATCTGTTTAAAAGTGCAGTTTTACTTTGAATTGTGACTCTGAAAAAATGGCATGGGAGGGCTCCTTGCTTATTATCTCTCCGTGATTTCCAAAACAGTTATGTTCAATTGTTCTGCAAAATTTCAACCTGGGCTCTGAAAGTTAAGCCTGGAATAAAGGTCATAAACAAGAATAAAAAAATCCGCAGGCCTAAATTATACCCTCAACGGCACTTGTGCAAGCCAGTGTGGGTTTGCACAGATGCAGCTGACTGGAATTTAGTAACCAGTTCAGTTACTGATGCACAGGAGGGAATAGAATCCAGCTGCTTTGTCTTAGATGTATTGGCTTTGAAAGGCTAGCAGGCCTAGCGAGCAGTAAAGCTTTATTTTTTCCATTTAAGTAAATAGATAGGACTTCCAATACTCACACAAAGCAGATCTTCTGAATAAGATGATGCCAATATTTTATAGCTGCCTTTTCATGAAAGTTCTACTGTTTTAAATTCATCAGTGGCAGAGTGTATATAGAGTTAGAAGTTGCAAATGAATATTTTTAACAAATAGAAATCTATGGTGTAGTCACAGCAGGATAAATTTGACCCAGCATATTTAAAATCATCTCTGTGTTTAGTTACCCACCAAAACCTGAATTCAGGTTGTTGTGTTTCTCCAAGCACAGATGATGCTATCAGTAACATCTAGAATAGTGCAGGTTCTGCAGCTCTTTGATCTCTTTTGAGTGGCAGTTACTATATCTCATCTATATCTCATAGTAAGGGTAACACAGGACTCTGAACTCAAAACTTGCCAGGTTAAAATAAAACAAAAAACAACTTTTCAGTTCCCCTTTAATGCTGCATCATTTTTTTGGCTTTTAGGGAATTTTCCTATTATAGCGCCATCTATTGGCTGGTTTCCAGAAGGCAACTTTGACTGCCGCAGGAAGGACATCTAGGACTGAATTCTTCTCTCACTGAGTTTAATAAATCCAGAGCAATTCCACTGATGTCACACCAGTGTCACTGAGAGCAAATTTAGTCCTGGATCACCTCCCCACAATAGATCAAGATGTCTTCAGGTTTCCACCAAATCCCTGAAGTTTGCATATTGTATGGTGACACTGGTGCAGCTGCAAACACTAGCATGAACTTTCCCAACCATGGACTGACTAACTGTGTTCTCACTGCCCCAGACTTTCAGCAGTTCACCCACCTCGTCTCTCTTCTCTCCTTGCATCCTTTTCATGTCCTAAACTCCAGTGTTATGAGTTCACTAGTACGAGAGAGAAACAATTAAAAATGCAAACAGGCAAACCTGCCTCAAGGAATCATACAAATGAGTGAGGAATATAATATTTATAAAAGTAAGCGCAAGCCTGGAATCATTGCTGGGAAATAAGGCATAATGCTGTCCCATGGTGCTGCAGCAAAGCGCCTCTGTCATAAAGAATACCTCTGCCTGCCTCTAGTATTTCAATTAACAGCATGGTTATGTGACAGGTAATTAGCTTTCATAAACACTTGGTATTTTTATAGTACGGCTTTAAAAGTGCCACAGCCTGAGCACAGGAAAGGGAGTCAGGCCCTCCGAAGTTCTCATTTCAGCTCTGACAATGGGGCATGTCATTTACCTCTCCAGACATGATTGACTTCTATGGGATCAATCTTGGACCCTCTGACTCATTTTCTGCATTGGTAAAAAGGGAATAAAATAAATGCCTACTTCATAGGGTTATTGCGCCAACCAGCTAGAGCAACTGGAAGAGAAAAAGTGCTACTATATTATTGTAGGAGATGGAAAAGAAATAAAAGAAAGAAAGAGATACTGTTACTGTTGATCTGTTTTGGAATAAAACTGAATTACGTTATGATTTTATCAATATTACACTATGCCTTCAAAGATTTAAAATAAATAACTTTATGACCCCAGGTCCTCTATTGATTTTATAATGATTTCAAATCGAACACATTCAGTTTCCAGTTCAATTTGCTTGCACCCTGTGGAATTCCTATTGGATTCCTATTAGAGACAGGATAAAATAATTCCAAGGAAATCCAAAAAGAGGGTTTTCTTTATGGGCTTTGCTCAGCAAATGGGTATTTAACCTCTGACCAATGACGACAAGTCTCCTTTAGCTCTATTAGACCAACAGCAAGCCACTATAATTAAATAAAAAAACTGTTTAGAGCCCTACTGAAAATGTCCTGGGAATTAAACCATATGGCAGGGGTAGGGAAAAAAGACTTTCCATATGCTAATGATGCTTGATGTCTGAAATAAATTAGATCCATTAGAGTTTATGCTCAATAAAAGAAAGACTTTAAGCACTCCAAAGTTAGTGACTCGAGACCGATTTTGGCTCTGAAATTCAATCTGCCTACTTATTAATTCTTAGTGAGGCTCTGAAGCAGACAGGAGATGCAAAATCATAATTCTGTGCTGAATCGGAATTGTAAAGTACCATGGGTTTCTTTTCCTTCTTTTTTTTAATTAAACCATTTTTCATGCTTTCCTTTTTTTGTTTCCCCTCATTAATTTGATTTTGTTCCCATTTTTGTTTAATTTCTTTCTTTTTAAGGTTTCATTTATCCTATTTCAACTGAACAGAGAACCCAGAATGAATATGGATTTTCTTGTAAGTTTAATGTTTGATTTTATGTTTCTGATTACTGATGTGATGCTGTTACTTGATTCAAGATTTACTTTTAGCCCAGCTACATGTGCATCGGGAAAGAGGGGCCTAATGGACAGCGTGACTTGCATCCTGCTTGCTTAATGGGAGGCAAGGAGTGGCAGTGTTACAATTGTCAATAGACTCATGTGAGAGAGAGAAAGTGGGTGAGTTCATATCTTTTATTGGACCAACTTCTGTGGGTGGAAGAGACAAGCTTTTCAGCTACACAGAGCTCTTCTTCGGACTTCAAGTCTGTTTAGCTTGAAAGCTTGTCTCTTCCACCAACAGACAATGGTCCAATAGAAGATATTATCTCACCCACCTTGTCTCTCTCATGTCCTGAGACTGACACGGCTACAACAACACTGCAGTCAGCTCATGTGGCATGATAACTGTCCTCATTAATAGGTGGATAAAGGAAAGGGGATAAGCTGGTGCTTGAAAGCCAGAAATCAAAGGGAGAAGCCTATTCATATCTGAGGAGGAGTAGGAAACTGTCAAATATGAAATTATTATAAACGTTAAAAAGAGAGAGACAATATGGAGGAGATATAGCATCTTCAGGCTGGAACTCAGAATTCTGCTTCCTGAGAACCCGTTGATGGACTCTCTCTTGCATTTTGAACAATGGAGATTTTAAGAAAACATAATAGCTAAGACCAGATAGAGTTTGATCAGTCCCTTTCAACATCTGCCATATCTCTGCAAGGCAGACTGGCCTACACCTTGGGAAAGCAGAGAACAAAAAAATTCTTTCACATGCTCTAAATTAAACCAAAATAGTGCATGAGAAAGATTTGATCTGTTTGCAGTTTCTTCGCTCGGTATGCTTCTTCTAATAGTGGAATATTTCGCTACACACATAACGCATAATTTTTGATCATGTATTCAGGCCTTTTGGAAACATATCTGGTAGAAAGTGGTGCTAGGTATTACCCTGGGATTAGTGCAGAAGTTATGGTACAAACAGGTAGCGAAAATCTCATGGGCAGGCCTTGTTCCCAAAGGAGAGCTACAGTGAACTTGGCTTCCTTTTGTAAATTACGGTATTCCTTGTTGAATTTTGCTTTCAGTAGATGGTGCTTGCTTCAGCATTTGTCCAAGCATTTGTCTCATTCCACTAATGAGATCTCAGCATTTGTTTTGCTCTATTTTTGCAGGTTTTTTGTCTCAAATGGGGTGTAGGGGGAGGTAGGACGTGCTCTGGAAAGAAACTAATGACTTGGAATATTACACTTAGAAAAATATTCTAACTCAGTACACACACATTATCAGGACATGCCAGGCGTGTCCACAAAAAGTGGCCTTTTATTTTTAAAGTAAGACGTGAAGTAAAAAACCTTTTTGTTATTCAATGTACCACTAAATTAACATTGAATTTTTCGTCAGGAATTGATATGGTGTTATACCCTGTTTAGCTAAATTTGCTTTATAAGTCTAGTTATAAATGGTTTGTTATGCTGCCTAGTTACTAGATAGATAGATCTATAAAGCATGAGAAAATAGCTAAGAAAAATCTAGGATCATTTTTCCTCTGAAAGGGAACAGCCCTGTTGTACAGCTTTGGAGATGGATTTTCAGTTAACCTATAAAAAAGGTAACAAATGTCAAAAGGAAACGACAGTAATACAGATGTATACTCTTGGAAATTCCTGTGACCAGATACCGCTGAACAATGTTTAATTCTTTTGTCCCTCCAGCTGCTCCTGACTCAGATGACGTAGCTCTCTACGTTGGCATTGTGATAGCTGTAATCGTGTGCCTAGCTATTTCAGTGATTGTGGCACTGTTCGTGTATCGGAAGAACCACCGTGACTTTGAGTCAGATATTATAGACTCCTCGGCACTGAATGGCGGATTCCAACCTGTTAACATCAAGGCTGCAAGACAAGGTTAGTTGTCATTTCATTTCATGTAGATCAATTCAGGCAGATGCTGTAAGGAAATGGTCTTCAGGGTTGTATGAATTATATTCACTGGATGCTAGTTGCCCCTTCATAGAAAAAAAGAAAGGTTATGCTCATTTGTTTCTTATAGTCAAGTGCTAAAACCTTATGCTGGGATTTTTCAGACCTACTCTAGAGCATGAAACAGAGGAGTATAAACTTCAGGAGAAAAGGAGTGAGAGGGACACACACAGAGACATGTAGAAATAAGGGTTTGTGTATAAGTCAGTGGCAAATACACCATTGGCTACAACAGAAACATGACTCATTCTACCATGTCTTAGAATAATACTCTAATAAAGTAATTCCATCACATTATATTTCTCATTTTACTGTCTGATAATCATATTTACTGTGACCTCTCTGTCTGCATGGAGAGATGTGTGGGAGGTATTTACTACTGAGAGATGAGACATTGCTCTGGCGCAAGATTCAGTGGGTGGAAAACATAACAAATTTCTGTCACCAGTTAATAATAGCATAATTATTTGCAGACATCATCAGACAGAAAATGAACACACAAAGCCAAGACTGGCTCTTGGAAGCTATACATTTGGGCTGAACCTTCTGGCTTTTGATGTCATTCTTTGAGTATTAAAGTTACATCAAGAAAAAAGTAAAACTGGCTAGAGAGTTGTAAAAATGGAACATTAGCAGGAGCAGCACTTTCTTTGCCAAGGATTTGTTTAAAGCTAAGCTGCAGAAGGCACTGTACAACATACCGTTGGTGACAATCCTGCGCTGGCTGTGGGTGATGAGGAAGATGACACCATAGGTCTTTTCTATCTCTTCTTTCTATCATTCTGTCTTTGGACTGGTTGAATAAATAGGCTAATGATTCTCATACTTAGCATTTATGGAAGGAAAATTAATTAATAAAACTGGTTTTGTCATAGAGAGTCTCTTGTACTGAGGCCTGGCATGTCATATTTGAAGTCAGAGTACAGACTGGAAAAGAATACAGGTTAAAAATCCTTGGAGTAGGGTTGCACTTCAGTTTTGTGCAGCAATTAGATTCCATAGCGATGGGGCCTATGTAAACCCCTGGAGATGTGTGGATGGATACAAAAGGAGAAGAATATCAGTCCATTAGGGCTTTGCTCATCATTCCCTTCAATATGAAGACACAAATAGAATGGCACCACTAAATCTTCACCCAGAAGGAAGTCTTCAGTGAAGGGGATACAGCCGTGGGTAATACTTTGTTGTTTTTTCTCATTTCCAACACAGATCTCCTGGCAGTGCCACCAGACCTCACATCTGCTGCAGCCATGTACAGAGGTCCTGTCTACGCCTTGCATGATGTCTCTGATAAAATCCCAATGACCAACTCTCCAATCCTTGATCCACTGCCCAACCTGAAGATCAAGGTCTATAGTACCTCGGGTGCAGTCACCCCACAGGACGACCTGTCCGACTTCTCATCCAAGTTATCCCCACAGATAACTCAGTCTCTGCTGGAAAACGAGACCATGAACATGAAAAACCAGAGTCTTGCTCGACAAACAGACCCATCATGCACTGCTTTTGGCACCTTCAACTCCCTTGGCGGTCACCTGATCATTCCCAATTCAGGTAAGTATTGCACTTATCAGCTTCAGAGGTACCTAATGAGATTTCAAAAGTGGTGGTTGTTTGGTGGTTTTAAGCAATGCCATCTCTCTGTTCTTTTAGGCAGAAAAAACAAGGTCACTCCTTGGAATCTGCCTTTTCTATGTTTAGCCCAAACAGCATTTTTTTTTCCATTCAGGTTTACTCAGCTATTTCACATATCCTTTCCCAAAAGTCCTGGCCTTCTTTAACAACAAATCAGAAGACTGTGACCACTTCCTTCAGAAACATTAGACCTCAGAACTTCCCTGTGTGAAGTGGGATTCAGCATCCTTGACCTTTTCCTTTCATACAGATCCCCAAAATAAACCAAACAACCCAACTTCAAGCCAGAAAGCCTCACTTTTGTTATCATGCATAAAAAGGACAAATTAATTAGAAAACAAATCAGTTGTTCCAGTTCCAGTTTGCTGCAGACTGTGCAGTGCTGAAGCAAGACAGCAGAATACTAATTTTCTGCAGGTGATTGAATAGTTTGCCTACATAGCAAACATAGAGATTACATAGCAAAGGAAACCAGGACATTATGTGTGTCTTTTTCATATGTCTTTATTAGCAGCTTTTCAGGAACTGCACAAGTTAGTAAAGAAAAAAAACTAAGTTCTGTTTACAGCGTGGAAAATGGCTACGCTGTTATTTAGCTGGATAGTAGGACCCCAGTTAACCAAAATTTTCAGTTAATCCAACTTCAGTGTGATGGCCTATTAAGAGAAGTGGCCTGGGGTGGATATTCAAATCTGCTAGAATACCAGATCTTCACCACATTCAGGGCCAGCTTCTTAAACGCTCAACACCAGCAACCAGGGCCAGATTTAAAAAACAAACAAACAAAAAACGCAACTCTGTTCCTAATGAAACGGTTAGATTTTCAAAACCCCTTCGCCTCTGGTGATCCCTATTCTTCTTACTGGATGCTGAATGCTTTTGAAAAATTAATCTGTTTCATTTATGGGCCTAAATGGGTGCTGAGCTGCTCTGGTGAAAAAAAAAATCTGGCCTGACTGTGGTTTGCTGAGTTCTGTTCAAAATCTAGTCTATCGTGCTGTAGACCTGAAGTTCAGGCTCTTCTTGTTAGAGGTCCAGTTTGTTCTCAGGTTACTTTCCACTATGCTTTCCACATGTAGTGCAAAGTCTGTTAGACATACATAATTTAATTCACATATTAACTTCAGTTTGTAGGTGAAAAAGTACATATCTATTGCTAGGAGCACTTTAAAATAATTAAAACAAACAGAAACAAATCTATCCATCAGCTATAACCCAATACAGTGGGCTGTCTATACAGCTTCCAGTAATATTTACCCACCAATTAACAGTCAAAAGTCCCTATAATCCCTCCCTGTACATCTGAGGAAATACATGGGTGAGGCAGCATGCCCAGAAGCTTAATGTATCTGGGCTGTGACAAACCCACAGGGAAACAAGTTCCAAAGTCAAAAGGCATTCATGAAAAACAGCCTGCCAGCTGTACCCTCCCTTTTATAACGGGGGGGGGGGACTCCAGCTCAAACACATCTACTGGTCACAAGAGTGGATGTATTGTATATAGAGAGAGGTGGTCTCATGTAACCAGGCCCCAAACTATTCATATATCGATGAGGACTGTCCAATGCATTATTTTGTAAGGCCAGTTCTTCTTCTTCTTCTTCTCTCTCTCTCATACACACACACACATATATCCTTGTGAATATTCTGTTCATAGGTTTGCTTCAGCTGTCTAGTTATAATTTTATGCAGGAGAAACTGAAATCCCTACCATAGATTTCTGATCGTTCCAGTTCAGCAATGGCAGCTGGTCCAGAATTGCCCGGCTGCGTGGACTACTGAGTACTTGTGCCTCATGGCACATCACTAATTGCCACTAACTTGTGTTCAGTGCAGGGCAGACTTGACTGGGTATTGGAATTCTGGACCACTCTTTATGAATGGACATATAAGGGATGTCAAGTATCCCCATTTTGTCCTAACTATTGTGTTATTAGAAGTTAAGTACATCTAAACACGGATGCTGACCACATGACCAGCTCCTCCCAAAAATAAATGGTTCTTGTTGTTTCCTGGGCCAGTATTCTGCTGTTTTGGGATTTTGTTGTTGTTTTTTATTAAAAAAGAAATGCCTGGGAAGAGATGTTCCATTACAGCTGTTTGAAATTTTAGACAGAGTTGTTGGTTTTTCCCACATTTTACAAGGTAAGCAACAGAGTAACCATCTGTTTGTTCCTTAAATAAAACAAAAGGGGAAGGAAAATATCCAGTTCTCCACTCCAGTAATTCAAAACAGACAATGGGAGGCACCAGGGAGACCCAGCATGTAGGACTTCGTCTTCAAAATCTCCTGTCATTTTTCGTCAGAGACCTGGTTGCCTTTCTTTCTCCGTTTCCTTTTATTTGTGTCTCTTCTGTTTTGCAGGCGTAAGTTTGCTGATCCCTGCAGGGGCTGTTCCCCAGGGAAGAGTATATGAAATGTATTTGACAGTTCACAGGAAGGAGAACATGAGGTAAAAGACTCTACTTGGAGTGCATTTGCTTGAGCACTAATTATGGAGAACGGGGTGGGAGAAAATGTACTAACTAAAATCTCTGATCAGCAGATATTTATGCAAAGCCAATTGTGTTGAGGCGACTTATTGGTTTTAAAGCAGACAGGTGAGAGCTGAGGATAACCTGGCCACAGAGCGAGCTCTGATATTTGCTTTTTATAGGTTCTGCAAAAAGCTTTCAAGCTTAGGGGAAACTGAATCCAAGTTAGAAGTGAGAATAATGCAGTAGCAAGAATTAAATGCAGCAGGAAGTGTGTCTGGTAACCTGTTGCAAAGGGCCTTCGCTCAGTTGAATAGAAGAGGGGAAAGGGCTGCATGCTCCATGCTACCCTGGGGAACACAAATCCTTGTGGAGGAAGAAGTGGTTGGGAAAGGATAAGAGGATACACTGGGCTGTCCATAGGGATGCTGTAGCCTGTGCATTGCCTCCTGTGCTCACCAGAGAGCACAAGGAGGGACTGAAGCACAGTTTTGAGGCATGGCTGCTTCCCTTGGGTCACTGCAGCTCCATGCTACCCCCTATTCAGAGCCGAGGCTACATGTCGCAATTAGCACAGGCTTGCCAACCTTGTGTGCCTGTGCTACTCTCTGGGTTTCAAGCTACTTTGTCAGCATATCACCTCCCTAGATTTCCCTGCCACTTTCCCAGCCAAATGGCAGGCACTTTCCAGCTGAGCCTCATAGACCCCTCACCAGGCCCATCCCATGCCTTCCTCTTCAGAAGACCTACTCTAAAGAGGGCCATCACTGGAAGAAATTCCTTCCCTCCGTGGCTCCCAGCTCGTTTGCAGTCTTGACACAAGCTTCTGAAAAGCAGATGTGAAGCTGAGAAAGACATGCTAAGTGTTAAGCCAGGATTATGACGCAGCCCTCTGATGGCCTGTTCAAATGGTTAATTATTATCATCACCATCAAATTTCTAGCAAGCTGTCATTTTATGAAAGTACTTGCTAGTTAACTCACTAAAATATGATTCAGAATGTGGACAGAGTCTGAGGTAAGGTAAAATTTTCAGAAGCACCTTAGTGATTAAAGGAGACTAAGCACCATTTTCAAAAGGGACTTAAGCACTTTGGAACCTAAGGGAGAGACTTTCAAAGGCCCAGATGATATTTAGGCACATATACTTAGGTGCCTAAGTGTCGTTTTTGACTTTGAAGATCTCTCCTTAAGTCTCGGTGAAAGACAATGAGACTTAGGTTTACAAGTGCCCAAGTCACGTAGGGATAGATTTACAAAAGTGTTTAGGTGTCAAAAGATGCATGTAGATGCCTAGTGGGATTTTCAAAAGCACCTAAGCAAGTGCAGTGTACCTTCATAGTCATTTTTTGCAATCCGACTGGGCTCCTCTCTGCATCTTTTACAAATAGCTTTGTAAATGAGGCTCCTAGGCATTTTTGAAAGTTTTACCCATAATACCTAGTGGTTCTAACAGAGGGCTGAGAGTGAGAGCTTCCAGGCTGATATTCTCCTCTCTTTGTGTAACCTTCTCTGTGACCCTAGGACAAGTTACTTAGGGCTAGATTATTACCTGTGGCACAACTTCAGAGCCTGGGGTGAGACATAGGCTACACCACCCCAGGAAGAGTGATTCAACACTGTCATTCTGAGACACACTGCTGAATCACAATACCTTACCTCCTCCCTTCTTGCTCCCATGGAATAACAATTTTCAGCTGCCCTATACCATTAGCAAAATATTATCTAACCCTGCGCTGGCTCAGCTACTCCAGCCAATGAGTAGGGAATGGAGTCAAGGCTCTACCTGTTCCCCATGCCTCTCTGCCCACCTGCTCAAGGGAGGAAATGTAGTCCTGCTTACTCCTAGACACCCAGACACAGGGGCTAGGTAACTGGCATCCTGATATACAAAAATGCTTCTTACTCCTTACTTCCCTGCATGGGCATGTGGTCCATGTCACAGTCTGGCCCTTAATGTTGGCAGAAAGGAGGCCTAAAAGGGCAAGGTATTACTAGCAGCAATTTGAGCAAGCCACTGAAGAGAAAGGAGGAATCCTATTCTTTAGGTGTGGAATAACATGCACAAAGACTAAATGACAAATGTAAAACTAAATAATCATTACACGGTGTTATGCCTCTTTCTTCTCCTTATAGCTAAATCCATTTTTTGGCTCAGACCTTTGATAGTGTTTGTTATGCCCTTAGCCACAGCTGTTTATACACCGTACAATAGTGAGCCCTGTTCTCTGGCTTGATAGTCTTTTGAACCATGCTAAACATAATCTGTTTAAAGAAAAATTAAATAAAAAAGACCTTCATGCTTACATTATTGCTTACATGCCCTCTGTTTTGAAAATGGCTAATTACAAAAATGGCCTTATCTATATTCACAGCCCATATTGATTTTTTTCATGTTACTTTGGGCTATATTTTTTTAAAAGACTAGCAACCTGTACTGAAAAAGTGTCCATCTCTTGCAGAGGGAAACTATAGCTAACCCAAGGAGACTTTCCTGTGCCTTTATTTGAATGGTGCGGCTGAGATAGTGTCCTACATTACATTTTTCTGCCCTTCTCCACTCTGTTTTACTTCCTTCTGGAAGGCGGGGGTGTGCGCAAATGAGTCACCCAGAAATTACTCCTACTAGTTCTTCTTCAGATATGGAAAGAATCAATGCCTCTTCTCCCATTCAGTGATGGGCACCCAACGTGGCAGGCCAATCCTTGTTTTTACTTCCCTTTAAGGGCCATCAAATCCACTCTACATGGTTCATGATAGCAGTTGCACGGCAGGTGGTACTGTGCATAAAACCAGCATGGAGAGGGCATGTTTAAAGTAGTGCTACCTGAGAAGAAGAATGAATGTGGATGTGGGTGTATGAAGGCATGAATGGAAGGAGGAGGTCTTGCAGTTGCAGGAAAGATTTTGTGAGAGAGGAGAACACTGAGCTCAAATATGCCATGGAGGAAGCAGAGCACATCATACATATATGGAGGTGCCAGTAGACTCTAGGGGGACTTGTCATAGGCTCATTTCACTGGGTGATCAGATATGGTAAAGAGTATGCAGAGCATAATGAGATTGTTCAATCCCAGTCCGCTACATTACTTTCTCCAGAGGGGAAGATGGCCGGCCAGCCATTCGCAGCCTCTTCCCAGATTCATGTATTGCAGAAAAGCCTGCTGAGGCCCAATACCTCCTATGCCGTATGTCACATCAGGCTGGTGCCAACTGAGATTCCTAATAAGGGGACCGCTAAGTGATAGTGGATAATTCAGATATATATTTGACTTTGATTTTTTCCAGCACCTCTTTAAAACTCCAGGCTCTCCACACTTTCTAAAATCAACAGTGTGTACAATATTTAACATGAGCTACTTAGGCCTAGATTTGTAAAGGTATTTATGCACTCAGTGTTGAAACACCTAATTGATTTAGGAGCTTAAATCTCATTTCAAAAGGGATTTAGGCACGCAGAAGCCAAAATCCTATTGACAGATTCTAGGATTTAAACTCTTAAGTACCTAAATCACTTTTGAAAATGAGATTTAGACCCTAAATCAGTTAGGCCTTGCAATGCTGAACACAGCAACCCCTAAATACTTTTAAAAATCTGGGCCTTATTGCATTCTCTGTAACCATTCCTAGAGCACTTAGAACAGCCCCAGACCCTGTCAATGACTTCCCCAGACCCCTCATATTATTTTACATATTAAGAACATAAGAACGGCCATACCGGGTCAGACCAAAGGTCCATCTAGACCAGTATCCTGTCTACCGACAGTGGCCAATGCCAGGTGCACCAGAGGGAGCGGACCTAACAGGCAATGATCAAGTGATCTCTCTCCTGCCATCCATCTCCATCCTCTGACAAACAGAGGCTAGGGACACCATTCCTTACCCATCCTGGCTAATAGCCATTAATGGACTTAACCTCCATGAATTTATCCAGTTCTCTTTTAAACGCTGTTATAGTCCTAGCCTTCACAACCTCCTCAGGTAAGGAGCTCCACAGGTAAGGAGTTTGACTGTGCGCTGCGTGAAGAAGAACTTTCTTGTATTTGTTTTAAACCTGCTGCCTATTAATTTCATTTGGTGACCCCTAGTTCTTGTATTATGGGAATAAGTAAATAACTTTTCCTTATCCACTTTCTCCACATCACTCATGATTTTATATACCTCAATCATATCCCTCCTTAGTCTCCTCTTTTCCAAGCTGAAGCGTCCTAGCCTCTTTAATCTCTCCTCATATGGGACCCGTTCCAAACCCCTAATCATGTTAGTTGCCCTTTTCTGAACCTTTTCTAGTGCCAGTATATCTTTTTTGAGATGAGGAGACCACATCTATACGCAGTATTTGAGATGTGGGCGTTCCATCAATTTATATAAGGGCAATAATATATTCTCATATATTATAACACCATAGTCACCCAGGATCCAACCCATCAACCTGTCCCCTCCTCAAACACCCAGGAACAGCAAGGTGGTGAATTTAATGAGCAGCACATGGGTGCAGCAAGTTAGCTTGCAGTGCTAAAGAAACCCAGAAAAGAATAATACATAAAGGACTAGCTTCAGACATTCACTTTTTAAGGAGAAGTTTGTGGCCTTGGGTTTGGTAAATATACCCTTGGAAATCCTGAGGAGTTTAACTTTGTGTGTACCCTGCATAGATATTTTCAGCAAACAGATCAAAATAACTTATGGGAAATGTATTGTGCCTAGACTGAAAAATCCTTTAGAGCATTTCCAGCTGATGACATTTGAAAGTCCAAATATGAAACTATAATATGGGATTTATAATGGAAACTTTGAGCCAAAACCTGCTCTCAGATATATGAGTGTAACTGGGAACAGAATTTGGTCCTCTTAGACTTACTCTAAGTAACATAGCTAGAGCAGCACAGAGTTTCAGCCTCCTATATTACATGCTTGGGGATATATCTGCAGCCCCCTGAGATTTAGTTCACACTTGTTTCAGAAAAATATGAAGCAAT